AAATTTTACGTATTATATACTTAGAATTAAAACCCATCGGAAAAACTCCCCCGGGCCTTGGGGGGGGGGCCCGGCCCCCCTTCCCCCCCTTGTGTGTGCCACTGGTTATGCACTTTATACGAAATTGAATTTAAGTTGTTACACAACTTTTTTAATCATCCTTTCGCATATCCAGGATTCAAAGACGCTGGTAATTTTTTTTTTAACTTAGCCTGAAGCTCCTGTACAGACTTGATTTCAAGTGATTTCTGACCCTTTTACTGTTGATTGATTGTTTATTAACGTCATACTCTTTGAAACAACACGATTAACCCTGAGGAATTTGAACCCAGAGAGATTTAACGTGCATTATCACCACCACTACACCAGAGAACTCGAACACGCTTTTAGACCGAAACATCACAAGACGAGTTCTTGGCAATGATTAGTGGATCCGATATCCCAATAAATTACCGTTGATGGATTTCATATAAGTAGAATCCTTACGTTTATTATCAGGCATATGAATTAAAATTACTTTAAAACATGGAGACGCGCAGGAAATGATTTTTCGTACTATATCAGGGGTGTCCAACCCGCGGCCCGCATGTGGTCCGCCTTGAATAATTTTGCAGCCCGCGAGATTCTTTACAAACTTTACAAAATTCGACTATTTTGTACAATACTTTTTGTTTAAGGAGTTTTTTTTTCTTTTTTTGGAAAATATAAATCCCATAACTGTTATTATTTTATCATGTTGTTCTGTTACTGTGAATCTCTATTTTTTCCCCCCTAAATTGAAATTTATCATAAATCGAGCTCAGAATTAACGCACGAAAATCTGCAACATCAATTACGATACGCAAATACACATGCATTGAGATCGACTTGCAAAAACTAAGTGAAGAGTTGAGAAATAGATATCTATATTTGATGATTGCATTATTATTATAAAAGTATCTATGTTTGTATACATGAAAAACAATAATAATGTATCAGTCTGTTTTAAATTTTCACCCCAGCAAATGTTTATAAGGGATCCAAATCTAACATAAAGATATATATTTATATGCGGCCCGCGGGATTGTAAAGTTCTTCCGAAGTGGCCAGCGAGGTCATTTAGGTTGGCCACCCCTGTACTATATTATATCTAGAATTCAGGCTGTTATTTTTTCAGTTCGGTACATATAAAAACGTAGAGTTAGATCCGCATACTATTTTCGGTATTCCCAGTATTTTAAAATGTATATTCAAATAAAAATAGGAATATTTTTAATGAACTGTCAATAGACTGTTTATAACAACTGTCAATATGCAATTATCGAAGTGTACGAAACAATAGCAAAATCAATTTCAATAGCCATTAAATTTAAGAGAAATATCATTCGACGAAATTATTGCATCCATTCAAGTGACACGTCATTGATAAACGAAAAAAGCTTTTGTTTTAAATAATTTATATCATTTGACTTCTGAGTGAAAGTGAGCTTAATAAATTTTTCGCGGCAAATTGGCAAGGACTCAAAACGGCTCATTAAAAATCTGCATTTTTTGCGACCGTATCTATTTCACAATAAAACCGGCATTTCTCAAGAGTATCATCACATATAAATATCAAACCAAATTTCGCTACTTTTTTCCAGCAATGGGTGCCATCCCGGTCGCTCTTTTTCTACCGATATCGAAACCCATCCCACAACGGGAACAATTTCGACGCCAGGCCCGGTTGACATTGGCGATAGCTTCCGAATAGGATAGGCAACTTTGGCGAGTGATCATGCCCTTCAACCTGGTAACCCGTCCCGTCAGTTTTCACGGCCACCTGTAATATTCCCTTACTTTCCCCTCGTCTAATGGAAGGTCCGGCCACCTCTTCTGTGACGTCACATGCTCCTTTCGTCCACTCACTTTCTTTCGTTGAGGAGCGCGGGCCTTCCTAAGTTTTCAGTGGTTTACTAGCCCACATTTATGCTTCAACCTTCGAGAACAGGAGAGTTGGAAACTAGTGGGGATCACCCCAAACGGTGATAGGTAACTGAAGAGTACGGTCTCCATTGAATCTCAGTCCGGACCCGTAAAAACAACTCATCCAAATACTGTGTTACAATAACATACAAACGGACTTGTATTTCTTCACAAGTGGAGAATTTTAATTTTCATACAAATTTTATTTTAAAGACTTTAAATTTATTATTTTTTTTGAAAAAAAATATTGATTTAAATTTCGACTTCAATA